ACTGTGACAGTAACTCTAACAGCAGCTGGGCACAAAGAGATCATTGACCTTCTTTCACAAGAGTCAGGAAAATTTTTCAGTGCTCTCCTCAAAGCCCAGGAATCATTTGCATCTGTATACAGACATCATTGCATGTGAACTCACTGAGAAACACACTTCATTCTGAGATGTTTAATTTGCTGGTTCCATTTGGTGAGAAATGTCATTTTCCAAGGACCTCACCCGCACCTTCCCCCGATATGCATACTTTCGAAAGTGGCCTCATGTGTGTTATGAAGTCAGATAAGCTGTATTTTGACATGACATGAAATAACAGCTGGTCAGCTCTCTAAACAAGTCAACTTGGTTCTAGATGAGATTACATTACCACACGGACTTAATTGTGGTCATAAGCTACAGCAATAGCAAAAATCTATAACGCTCATGTTTATTACGTTTTCCTTTATTTTTTTTATCAATTTGTGCTTCCCTTTAGACAAACTATATATTTTGTGGGGTTAGGCAATGAGGGCAAAAGATGGGAGGAGAAATGAATGAGCCAAGTTCACAGTTTTATTACATTTAACCTCAAGAATAAAAGGGCAAGGACTGTGAGAACTATCTAAGACTAGAAAATGTCTGACATTGCTCTTTTCATGACTCCCTCATTTGTTTTTCTTGCAGTGACTAGCAATAGGACGCTTACAAAGTTAGAAGTGCTATGAACTCATTTTAGGGACAATATGCAAGTTAATAGTTGAGTAAAATACATCCTACTTCATAGGCAGTTTGGGGGAGATGAAAAAGGAACCCTCAAAATAGAGGAGGTAGGAGTTTTTAAAAGGGCCAGCAAAGCAAGGTGAATCTCTGGGACCAGAGCAAGGAGTGGTCCCCAGGCCAAGAAGTACCCCCTGGATTTAGGCCTGTCAGGAACTCCATAGATAAGATTCCTGTGTTGCATAAAAGAATGAACTAAATAACCTCAAAAGTTTCACCCTAGTCTAATATTTTCCTAATATCTTTTTAATCTAATGATTTCATCATATCTGGTGGAAAAATGGTACAACTAGCTTCCTTAAGAGATTAAAGATAAATTCTATAGTTTTGGTGAGGATTATAATATGGTAATTGCTAATATTTTACATTTAAGTCATAATTTCTGCAGTAAGAATCCTTGAAATTAAAGTGGTAGTTTTCTTTTTATAATTTAAATAGTTTTAATGGGGCTATTTTACTTACAATATCATTCAGCATGGATCATATATACATGACACAGAAAAGATCCTCTAACTACCTATTGATTTACTGATTTATTGGCTTATTTTGTGTTGTTTTAGGGGAAGAATAAAATAATATAATAAAAGTGGCTAGAGAGCACTGATGTCATAGGATTTTACTATCTCTATAGCCCTTGTTCTCAACACTACAAATCTTTGGAGACTGTATTGGGTCCCAGAGAATATAAAATATGGATTCATATTCAATGAATCAACTTACTGAGTGGCATTTCTTTCTCACCTTGATATGTGATCCTTTTCTATAAGAAACAAGGCCTGCGAGGAGTGCTGATGCATAGGGGTACATGTACCCCAATGTTCATAGCAGCACTTTCAATAATAGCCAAAACATGGAAAGAACCTAAGTGTCCATCAACTGACGAATGGATCAAGAAGATGTGGTTTATCTGTCCAATGGAATACTACATGGCAATGAGAAAGAATGAAATCTGGCCATGTGTAGCAACATGGATGGACCTTGAGGGTGTTATGCTGAGCGAAATAAGTCAGGTAGAGAACAGATACCATATGTTTGCATGTTTAGGTGGATTAGGAGGAACTTAATGGAGGACCATGGGGGAGAAGAAGGGAAAAAATAGTTGGGGAGAGGGAGGGAGGCAAACCATGAAAGACTCTTGAATGCTGAGAACTGAGGGCTAATGGGGGTGGGAGAGAGGGGAAGGAGGGTGATGAGCATGGAGGAGGGCACTTGTTGGGATGAGCACTGGATGTTATATGGAAACCAACTTGACAATAAACTATTTAAGAAAAAAAAAAAGAAGGCCTCTGATGGTGTGCTTAAACTATCAGGATTTTCACATATCTGGATCATATATGAGGTAGACACAGAGAAAGTACTTGAAATCTCAGTTTTATTTAGTGCCAAACAAAAATCTATATTCTAGGAACAGGAACAAAATACCTAAATCCCTAATTTTACCATCTGGGACTAAATAAAAAGGAAAGAAATGATGGTTAAATATCTATGACTGAATACTTTTCATTTAGCAGATTATTTACCCAGACTCCAACTTCTAGAAAAAGGTAAAGTCAACAATGAAAAGATTCAATGAGGAAAAAGGTCTATCCTTGGATCAGAGCAAATTCAGACCACTCTCCTCACATTGGACATCAACAACTCTAGATATTGAAATGGAATAGAAATAGAAATTCAAAATTATGGTAGTGACAGTTAATATTTATTGAGTATCTGCTTTATGCCAGATGTAATGCAGAATGTTCTACATACATAATTTCATTTTAATCCTTTTAACAGTCCCATGAGTTAGGCACTGTTATTAGCTTCCTTTTATAGACTATGACTCTGAAGCTCTGTAAGATCTTCATTCATCTACTTAATAAGGCAGGAAAATGGACTAATATATTATTCTGTAAAATTATCAAATGCAAAACAAAATAAGGAAAATTTTTTTCTGATTAACCATCATTAATCAGAATCTCCTAATCCCTGAGCATTCCTTTTGATCAAGCTTTCACCGTCTTGCTGTATAGTAGTCAGATGAGAGAGATGCATTTGAAATCTAATTATTTTAAGTAATGTTGATATAATCAGCATCAGAACTTTTAAGCTGTGGTATTAATTCTTGATTATCAGCTGTCAGGTCTTTAACTACATAGGTTAATGGAATGAGTCACCTACCCCTCCCTGTTGAGTATTAATTAATTAATTCAACAATCACTATGTGCCAGGCATGGTGATAGTCACCAGGTTCTACAGCTAGTAGGTGGGGAGAGTGTTGGGGGAAAGAGCCCCCTTTGAAGAGTTTACAAACTGACAGGGAAGAAGTTTTTTTTTAATTCATTTAGAATAAGATAATCATAACTTTAAATATATATATTTTATCTTGTTAATCTTTGCAACAACCCTGTACAAATTTTATCACTCTCTTTTTATACATTATGAAACTAAGAGTAAGGGAAATTATATGAGTTGCCAGCTAGTAAAAGACACAGCCAGGATTTTAGCCCAAATTGAAACACATACTGTTTCCACTATGCCATTCCATCCTCTATAGAATTTATTTTGGTCAGTATAATAATATTACAGAAAGAAATATCAAGAAAAGTTTTTTTTTTAATAGTACATTCCTTGGGGCACCTGGGTGGCTCAGTCTGTTGAGCATCTGACTTCGGCTCAGGTCGTGATCTCATGGTTTGTCATTTCTAGCCCTGCATAGGGCTCTGTGCTGTTAGCTCTGAGCCTGGAGCCTGCTTCGGATTCTATGTGTCCCTCCTCTCTGCCCCTCCCCCACCCATGCTCTCTCTCTCCCTCTCGCTCTCAAAAATAAATAAACATTAAAAAATTTTTAAAAAATAGTACATTATTTACATTTGACTCTGAGACCACTCAAGTCCAAGAAACCTCTTCATTTGTAAATTGTATAAAAATGTAGTCTTTTTAATACATAGCAATTGATGTTTGTTTCTTTAGTTGTTTCTAATCATGAAAGGGATTTACGAGAACATGGATATTAATGCAGTGAACAGTTGACTTAAGATACAGAAGTGCATTTTCATTCCTTCACTTAGTTACTCAGGTGATGTAAAGGAAGAATGACAAGTCCCAGAAGACATTTAATGGAGGTGTTCCAAGTGGAGTCTGATTGCTGAAGAAATGGTATTTATTATGTGGGCTGAAAACATTAGCCTAGGGATACTTTTAACTAAAACCAATAATATAAAGACATTTTGTTAGAATCTTAGGAGTCATTTTACTGAAACTTGATTGACTTAGCTGACTGGACTCCAAGCTTTTATTGACCTTTTACATCATTGCTTCAAGAATTGTACAGCTATGGCCCATTGAAACATCAAGGGTTAAAGAATGAGCCTGACAGGCCAACCTGATTTCCTTTTTGATAGGATTAGGGAACCAGTGGCTAAAAGGCTTAAGAGAGATCACCTAACTTTGGTCTTTAACAAAGCTTTTGATTCCACATTTCATGAAATTTTAATTGAAACACTTGAAATTCCAGGTGCTGCTGCCAGAGGAGTAAGAAAGTCTCTGTTCCTCCCTGGCAGAAGCATCTGAGACCTAGAGAGTAGAAAGTGCCTTCTGCCATTTTAGGTGATACAGCAGCAACTAGTAAAGTAACCACGGTCTGGCATTATTTGGAATGGATAGGAGTAGCACTAGCCAAACCCAGGTCATAACTCCCCAGCACTCCAACTACTCACTAGTCCCATTGCGAGTTCTGTATCTTTGTTTCCTTCCCCCATTTGCTATAGAGTTGTGCTTTTTCTTTTTTGGAAATCTCTGTTATTGTTGGCAGTGACTTTGACGCCAGGCTGCTCTGACGGTTATATCTGCATCACCTTGCAGTGAAAGAATGGAAAAATGTCAAGGGACAGTCTCAGGAATACATGACCAAGCTTTTTCAAAGGAAGAGTGGATTTAACCATAGCCACATTTAAAGGTCTTATCTCTTTTAAAGAAGGAGGTAGAAGATAATTTGATAGCTTGTGGCCAAAAATGCTAATTTCTCAGAAATGTGAGGGATCTTCTTAATGACTAAGCCACAATCTTAAAAGACCCTATGTTTTAATTCTGCACCTGTCAAGAAAATCTGGAAAAATTACAAAAGTAACTGACTTTAATGAATTCACCTGTTATTCCTAGGTTCTTAAGATTTAGAGTTTTCCTCTAGTGGCTCATATAATAAAATCTAGGAACATCCCAGTCCTTAATGGAGTCTGGATTTTGGCTTTCTTTTTCTTCTTTAGGATTGAACCAGCTGCCCTTTGACCCTGCCAACAACAACGAACCCCTGCAGTTTGGTAGTGCCAGTGGCCCTCTGGTCACAGAAGGCCACATTGAGAATGGAGGGGAATCAAGCAAGAAAAGAAAGAGAACAAATGCTCCTTCAGGTAAGCTAGGCAATAATGCACTGTCTTAAGTCAGCACTATTGAATCGACATTTTCCCAGAGCCTAGTATGTTATTGACACTTTGCTGGGATTGGTAGAACTTACAGAAGTGAGAAAGAGTCCCCTGTCCTCAATGAATTCATGGTAGGATAGAACATGGGGAAAGCACAGACAATAATAACTCTAATAATGAGATAGAGTATCACTGTTGATGTGGTTAAGTGTGGAAAATGGGGAAAAACCCCTATGGAAGCACAAACAGGGAAGAGTTTAATTCAGCCTTGGACATTGTAGAAAACTTCACAGCTGAAGTGACCTTTGTCGCTGACCCTTAAATGGGTAGGCTTGAGACAAAAAAAATAGATGAGTAAAGAACATTGATTTAAGTAGAAGGATTGCATGAGTGAATGGTTTCACTGTATGTTTTTCTTTGTGTGACCATGTGGTGGGTTACCCTCACTTTTACTCGTAATGCAGATAACTGCATGTATTTGTATCTCCCCACCCCAGCCTTGTTTCCCCCAGTACACACTATGCCCACATGTGTTTTATGCCCTCATAGCTATCTTAGAACAGGTGACAAGCTGATTGTCTTAAATCATTTATAACAGTCAACTGAGTTTTGATCCTCCCCTGCAATCCTCCTTTACCTTTATGTTCCATTAGCCTATTCTCAAGTTAAATTTCTCCTAAACGAGTGGGGAAACAATAGGAGAGCCAATACTTAACTGATTATTTGATATGTTCAAATTGTATCTATTTGCTGCTTGGCTATTCATTTGAAAACAGTATCCATAATATGTAGAGACTGATTTGAGATTGGCGATTGGCCTAATAGACACGTTCATGGTGTTTTGTTCTGTTTTTTTTTTTTTTTACTATTACTTTTATTTATTTTTTAAATAGTTTATTGTCAAGTTGGTTTCCATATAACACCCAGTGCTCATCCCCACAAGTGCCCTCCTCCATGCCCATCACTCCCCTTCCCCTCCCCGCCACCCCATTAGCCCTCAGTTTGTTCTCAGCATTCAAGAGTCTCTCATGGTTTGCCTCCCTCCATTTCCCCCACTATTTTTCCCCTTCTTCTCCCCCACGGTCACCTTGTAACATGGAGCATGCTTACAAACATATAAGATCGTATCTGATTCTGCTTATAAATCAAGGTATTTGTCAAATACAAATTTGGAAAACAAAAACACAGTGAAACACAGCTCTCTGGAGTTCTCAGAGTGATTTTTAGAGAGGTGTCTTATCTGGAACATTGGAAAGGCATAGATTATAGCTACAAAAATGGTGTGAATTCTAATCCCAGCTCTATTTCTTTCTGAAGAGCAAAGGAGTGGTTCCTTAGCCTCTCTGAGTTTCACTTCAATTGTAAAGTAGAAATGGTACTAAAACTCACGTATTAGGATTTAAACACAATTATATAAGGTAAAGTGCTTAGCTTGGTATCTGCATACACTAATCACTTAATAAATGCTGCTATTTTTTTGTTATCATTATTATATGGTAATATTATAAACTTTACCTGTTTGAGTATCAACACATTTCACATTTTTAGGTTAATCATTATGTATACCAATCGTGTGTGTGTGTGTGTGTGTGTGTGTGTGTGTGTGTGTAAATGTATCTGCCTTTTTAAGGCATGTATTCAACTCTGATCATTTAGAGGCATAACTCCAGATATTAGTTATTGTTCTGTACAATAATACTCTGTTATAGTTTTCAGGGTTTACTAAGGAATATAGGCTTTTTATCTCTACAATAAAATGTCCTACACTCTGGTAGCTTTTTAGTTATTACAGCCATATTTTATATATGTCCTGTGTCCTGTCTGCAATCTGCAGTAACTTCTGGTTTCTCTCAATGTCCCTTCATGCAGCACCCCTTTTTCTCCTTCTAAAAAGTTACAAACTTTAAAAAACAAAAAAATCCAGGGGCACCTGAGTGGCTCAGTTGGTTGAGCATCCAATTCCTGCTCCAGTCATGATATCGTGGTTCGTGAGTTCAATCCCTACATGGGGCTTGCTGCTGTCAGCGCAGAGCTCTCTTCAGACCCTCTGTCCCCACTCTCTCTCTTCTCCTCCCCTGCTTTCTCTTAAAAATACATTTAAAAATAATAAAACATTAAAAAACAAAAAAGGCAGCCATCTCCAAGTTGATATGTCAGATCAGTATGTTAAATCAGCTGTAAGAGAACTTGCTATAGAGAGAGTTAGAGGATTAGGGCATCAACTTTAAGACATCTATTTTGGCTGCTCTGAGGCCTTTTTTGATCACTTATTAGTTTTCCAGTGTGTCCTTGATAAGTGATGTGCTAGTTTAGATTAATACCTCCTGAACTGTAGTTAATTCATGAGGGCAGGGAAAAGGGGTATGAATTCATAGGAATTGTGAAGTAACTTTAAAGAACTGCAGTTTTATTTCTAATGAGCAAATTCAGTGAGAGCAAAGTAACTGTTACAGATATAGGATTTTAGCAATAGATTATACTAATCTACAATTAGCAGAATCAATTTGCATTCAAATAATGAATATGTTGAAGTTCTTTAAAAAAAGACTATTTTCTTTAAATAGCCTTCTGAAATAGCCCCTGTCAGGCTAAATTAGCTCTCTTGCAGTCTTTTTCACACTGTCTGCTTAGTGAACCCTTTCTTTGTGTCTCCAGCCCAGGTTAAATCACCACAAATCCCAAAAGCTTGAAGTCCAAATTAATGAGGTTTTACTATATAGGAGTCTCTTATAATTTTTCAGCTGGCAACCTTACAGCATTATAAAAGGACAGATTGCTTTGTAATTATATATTCTTCCTTTCACCATTCCCTGCATCTCCACAAGGAGGAAGGCTAGGGTTCAAAGTCCTTAACAGAATTACGAGCCATTTCAGTTCTAAGCTGAGCTACATATCCAGCCATTATATCACTGAACCCCGTAACCCCTTTGAATCAAAGCCATCTTTCTCGCTCTCCTCTCGCTGCAAATGAGGAGGGGTCTTTGACTGCAGTTCTAGTTCCTTACTACACATTCTGGTTTTCTTCCTTTCCCATCCCTCTTATCTCATCCTTTTCTACAATTTTCCTCTCTCATTTTCTACTAAAATTGATTTCTGAAAGGTCACCAGTGACCTGCAAATTGTCAAAGTCCCTGGCCTTTTGGCTGGTCTCAACTACTTTGACCTGTTTGGTTCATTTGATGCTGTTAACAGCCTCCCCTACCTTGAATTCTCTCTTCTTCCGCTTTCCTTGGCAATGCACTTTACATCCTTTTCTGTCTCCTTCAACCATTCTTTCCCCCTTTTTCTTCCTACCTCCACTTTCAGTGAGTATACTATCATCCACATTTGTAGGTGAGAAAATAAAAGTTTGATAAACTAGCAAGTGGTTTAGGCAGGCCTCTAACTCCAAAGCCTGTCTTTAACTCCTATGTCACGGTAACTATGCCTGTAGATATTAGGAAGCCGGACCCATTACTAACACGTGTGTTAAATATTGGTGGCGCACTAAGGAAATCTGTGTTTGTGTGAGAATAAGGTGAGCAGATTTGATCATTTCTAGGATCCCTCTAAACTCTGAGATCCCATGGTGTCTTCAGCTTTTTTTTTTTTTCCTGCTACTCCCCAAAACAAGTCTTCTATTTCAGCCAAGGTGATCTGCTACTAGACCAGCATTGCACCTACCTACTTAGTACCTTGCTCATGCTGGTTTTTTTATTTGTTTGTTTGTTTGTCTAGTATGGTCTGTCTTCTTTAACGTGTCAAAATCCTGTCCAATTGAAAGTACCTAGTACAAGTCCAGAATTCTCCAGGAGGCCTTCTGGATCATCAGTTAGAATTGTTCATTTGTACCTCTGAAACCCCTTGGTCATTATATTCATATGATTCATTTGACATTGATTATAGATTAACTTGTGGTTATCTGTTCATGTGAATATGTCTTAGCCTTTTAACTCATCATTAGTCCCTTATTGAAAGGGCCTCTGACTTATGGCTTTTGCAAAGATACAATGTCTTGCGTACAATAGATGCTCAATAAATATTTATTGATTGATCATGTATCTGGCTGAATAATTGCTTTCCCTTGCCCTTAATATTCTCCGTTATTCTTTTATCACTGCCAGAGTGGAGCTGTGTATAAAACTGGGCACTTTTGGGGCACCTAGGTGGCTCAGTTAGTTAAGCATCTAACTCTTGATTTCAGCTCAGGTCGTGCATGATCTCATGGTTTGTGAGATCCAGCCCCACATCAGGCTCTCTGCTGAGTGTGGAGCCTGCGTAAGAGTCTCTCCCTCTGCCCCTCCCTCGTGCGTGTGCGCGCTCGTGTGTGTGTGCATGCTCTCTCACTCTCTCTCTCTCTCTCAATAATTAATTAATTAATTAAAAATAAAATAAAACTGGGCACTTGGTATCTAATGTTGATGAATTGACTTCCTCACTTGCCCCTAAAGATCATACTCCAAACATTTGTAAGATTATATTCCTAGATAAACCACACATCAAATGTAGGTGCTTGTGGAGAATACTTGGCCCTAATGGAATCCTTGCCTCTTTACTAGGTGCAATTTCATGAGTGCCCAAGGGAAACTTAGAGGTGGAGTTTGGGTGTCTTGTCCCAATTCCTTTGTGAAGTAGATCAGTAATCTGGATTAGATAACACTGCAGTATTTGACCAGAAACTCTTCCCTAGTCGATCTGGCTGCTTTGCAGCCTTTATCATAAGTTGATCTCAGCTTTCCTTAGAGTATGTTTGCTCTCAAATTTCACTTTTTCCTTGTATAAATGTTTCCTCAACGGTGCAGTAGCACAAATTTTCTAAAATTGCTAAATGTCAAATGAGTCCACTTATTCAGATGATCCTCTATGGCTAAAGAGTAGAAGATTGTTAAACCCTCATCAAATCATAGTGCCTATCCACAAGATGCCAACTGCCTTCTGGTTTGAGATCCACCTGGACTTGTAGAAGCAGAGATAGCAATCCTCTTTCAAATACGTCTACTTAAGTGGAA